TTGCTCTACTGGGTATTTACTGGGCAGGAGTTACTGGAGCACCACTGTATGTCTTGTGCCTGGCATTGTTCAATCCAGATGTCAGTTGGGATAGGAAGAATAACCCAGAACCCTGGAACAAACTGGGTCCCAATGATCAATACAAGTTCTACTCAGTGAATGTAGATTACAGCAAAGTGAAGAAAGAAGGTCCAGACTTCTAAATGAAATGTTTCACTATAAAGCTGCTTGGAATGAAGGTCTTCCAGAAGACATCCACACAATTTTCCACTTATCCAGGAAATATTTCCCCTCTAAATGTACGAAATCATGTTGGTGTATTGTGTTGGGGTTTACGCTGATTAATAAGTACCTGAAACTTGAAAAAAAATAAAGCCATTTTCCCTGAGAAAGAGAGATTTAACTTATGATGACAGTGAATGTGATTTGCAGTGTTTAAAAATAATGGATATTTTAGAAATAGCCTATATGAGTAATTTATAGATGAAAAGGACCTTATTGACAAACAGCTGGTCTACCAAAACAATTCTGTGATATAAAACGGACGGACATTTTTAGAGAGCTGGAAATAAATTCCTACATTTCTAAAAACCCTCTGTTGCTAGTAAGTAAAATCCCCAAAATTAAATGATCAAATGATTTTTCAGGGAGAACATTTAGCTTGATGTTATAACATTGTACTGACATGAGGAGTTAGTCTAATGTGGCTTGATAAGAACAGAGCTGCAAGGCAAAGTGGATTTTATGTTTGACTTATATTTAGCTTTTTAAAAAAGTTTTATTGAAATATAATTCTACATACCAAAATATTCTTTTTGTGTGTATATTTTATTATAAATAAATAATATAAATATTTATAAACTTTATTAAAGTATAAACATCAGAGTGTTTTTCAGAATATTCAGAGTCATGCAACCATCACAACTATCTAATTTTAGAACATTTTCATCACCTTATGTAGAAACCCTTTAACCATCCCTATTCCCCTCCTTCCCCCAGCCCTTGGAAACCACTAACCCAATGTCTTTAGAGAGTTGCCTATTCTGGACATTTCATATAAATGGAATCATGAAATATGTGATCTTTTATGACAGGATTAATTCACTTAGCATGATGTTTACAAGTTTCATCCTTGTTGTAGCATGTATCAGTACTTTAATCCTTTTTATTGCCAATTAATACTCCATTGTATGGCTATATTACATTTTGTTTATCCATTCACTAGTTGATGGAAATTTGGGTAGTTTCTACGTTTTGGCCATTATTAGTAATGCTATTATAAATAAGTTTTCAATATTTAGTACACTTGATATTAGCCAAAAAGCTGAGAAGCGATTAAATATTTATTTTAAATATCCTGCTTAAGTATCTTATTTTGTGTCAACAAATGTTTCCATTTCTCTTAGGAGTAGAATTGCTGCACATATGGTAATTCTATGCTTAAGATTTTGAGGAACTGCCAAACTGTTTTCCGAAGAGGCTGGACTATTTTATGTTCCCAACAGCAGTGCATGATCATGGATCTAATTTCTCCACACCCTCTTCAACACTTGTAATTGTCTGCCTTTTTGATTATAAACATGCCGGTGGAAATAAAGTGGTATCTCATTGTGGTTTTGTTTGCATTTTTGTCATGACTAACAATGTTGAGTATTATTTCATGTGCTTATTGGTAATTTGTATATCTTCTTTGGGGGAAATGTCGATTCAAATCCTTTGACCATTTTTGAATTAGATTATTTGTCTTTTTATTGTTGAGTGGCAAAAGGTCCTGGATATAAGTCCCTTATAAGATATGTGGTTTGCAAATATTTTATCCCATTCTGGGGGTTGGGTTTTCATTTTCTTGATGCCTTTTGCAACACAGAAGTTTTTAATTTTGATGAAGTCCTCTTTAGCTCTTTTTCTTTTGTCATTGTACTTTTGGTGTCATATTAAGAAAACATTGCCTAAAAGCAAGGACACAAAGATTTATCTTATGTTTTCTTTTAAGAGTTTATATTTTTAGCTTTTAAATTTAGGTCTATATTCAATTTTGAATAAATTTTTGCCTATGGCTTCAGGTAGGAGTCCAACTTCATTCTTTTGCATATGGAGATCTAGTTATTCCAACATTATTTGTTGAAGAGACTTTCTTTTCCCCACTGTGTGGTCTTTAATAGTCTCCTAAGTTGATTGTATTCAGTTTTTCCACTACATAATATAAAAGAAGTGTGTCCTAAAGACTTCAGGTAGTTCAGACAAGTATTATGGAAAAGGAACAGAAAGTACAAAAATATCTAATTGTATCATGGAACAGAAAGAACATGTCATTGTTACTTTATGATTAAATATTGGTAATATCTGTTTAATTCATCCTATTAAATGTATGTTCCTATTTTCAAAAGTCTTACATTTATGTATTTTAATAATACACAATAGAGAAGAACTTCTGGTAAGAAACACTATTAGGGTAAGGACCTTTGAAAATCTACTCCTTTATACAAACAATGAGAATGCTGACTGAAAAACTTGTAAAAATCAATAGTTTCAGAACATTGGAAATTAACAAAAGGCTGTAACAATTCAAGGAGCCAAAAAAATCAGTTAAATCTAAGTAAGAACTGTGAACTTTGTGGCATTTTTATCTTGCCCTAGTCTTATCCTCATCTCCCTAGATCTACTGGATTCTTTAAAATTAGGGGACTGGTAAGCACAGTAGATGTGAAAACTAGCAGCTTATCAGTTACTGAAGGTGGCAAAACAAACTTGGTGCTCCCCCAAAAGCCCTAACCCCAGAGAGCTATTACTATTTGACCTGTCTGGTAGTTTCCTGAAAATCAAGCTGCATTCAGAATGCTTGTCTTTATTGGACATGACTTAGCTTGCTCCGTGAGAAAAACCTCATCCCCAGAGCATCTGTCAAATACAATCCATGGTAATAGTGTAGTATCACAGCTTTCCAAGGAGGTGGTGCCTTTTAGGACAAACAGGAGTCTCCTTTAAAAAAACTTGAGAGGAAAATCATGTATTGTGGCATTTGTAGGGGGCTTTGGCAAGCTCACACATATTCTAAGGAACTAGAATGCAACATATAGGTATAGGGCTGTGTACATGCCCAAGACAGATCTGAGAAAGTTGTATTTTATTACCTCTGGCTGATCATGAGCCTTTGTGTAAACAGGAAGTGAAGGATAGGATAGTGTTGCAAACTGCCTTCTGGAGGAGTGAAGGCATGATTCAGCACACACACACACACACACACACAGCTCCTTGGCAAAGACTGGGAGGTTTATAGGTGTAAGCCATTTAAGGCAATCTCTGTCTAATCATTAAAAGTCCATTAAGCTTACCTATCAGAGACTTTAGTGGTCACACATGACAAAGAATGCACAGACATTAGAGAATTAGTTTGGAAAATCACTCAATAAACAAACTATAAGAATAACAGTAGCAGCAACAATAAACAACTATAACAACAACAAGAAAACTCTGGGGAGTGGAGCAAATGTGATTTCCCAAGTTGCCACATTGTTTAAAACATTCAGTTTTCAAAACAAAATTATGCAACATGAGAAGAAACAGTTAAGTATGACTTACACAGGGAAAAAAAGCAATCAATAGAAACTGTCCCAAATAAGGGTGGCTCAGTTGGTTAAACGACTGCCTTCGGCTCAGGTCATGATCCTGGAGTCCCGGGATCGAGTCCCGCATCGGGCTCCCTGCTTGGCAGGGAGTCTGCTTCTCCCTCTGACCCTCCCCCCTCTCATGCTCTCTCTATCTCATTCTCTCTCTCAAATAAATAAATAAAATCTTAAAAAAAAAGAAAAGAAACTGTCCCAAATTAAACCCAGACATTGGACTTACTAGGAAAAGACTTTAAATCAGCTATTATAAATGTGTTCAAAGAACTGAAGGAAAACATGTCTACAGAACTAAAGGGAAATATGAAAACAATATCTCATAAGATATAGAATATAAATAAAGAGACAGACATTTAAAAAAAACAACCAAATAGAAATTTTGAAGTTGAAAAACACAGTAACTAAAAGGAAAAATATGTTAGAGGAGTTCAACTGCAGAAACGAGCTGGCAGAAAAAAGAATCTGTGGACTTAAAGATAGGTTAATTGGGATTCTCCAGTGTGAGGAACATGAAGAAAAAAAGAACGATGAAAAAATCAACACAGCCTCAAGAGGCTTGTGGGACACCGTTAATTGTACCAACAGATACATAATGAGAGTCCCAGAAGGAGAGAAGAGAAAGGGGCAGAAAAAATAGTTAAGGGAATAATGGCTCCAAACTTCCTAAATTAGATGGAAACCATTAATATGAACATCCAAGAAGTTCATAAAATTCCAAGTAGGGTAAACCAAAAGAGATCCACACCTAGATACATCATAGACACTTTCAAAAGCCAAAAGCAAAGAGAGAATCTTGAAAGCATCAAGAAGAAAGTGATGCATCACATAAGGAGATCCTTAATAAGAATAATTGTTGACTTCTTATCAGAAACCATGTAAGTCAGAAGGCAGTGGTATGACATATTCAAAATGCTGAAAGACTATGAACCAAGATGATATCCAGGAAAAATAAAGAAGAAATCAAGGTATCCTTAGGTAAATACAAAATGAGAGAATTCATTGCTGACAGACCTGCCTTATGAGAAAATAAAGGAATTCCTTTGGGGTGAAATAAAAGAATACTACACAGTAACTAAAATCCACACACACGCACAATAAAGAGAACCAGTAAAGGTAACTGTATAGATAAATATAAAAGACAATATAAATGTATTTTTATTTATAACTCTTTTACTCTCCTTTTTTTTTTTTTAAACAAAAGGTCTCATATATTTATTACTCAACCAACCTACTGGTACAGAAGTATAGTAACAGAAAAATCATTTCTCTGATAATACATGTCATTGTTCAAGTAGTAGTGATGTTACAAAGTGATAGGATATGAGCATATGACCCTTCATACAGCATAAATATATGTGCCATCTCATGTGTGATTTCTTATAGACCCAGCATAGTTTTTCTCCAATGCCTCCTCTTGGAGTAGTACCTGATTTTATGACCATTTTTCATCTGAATCCCCTGGGGAATGGGACAATTCTGCTTTTGTTTCTTGGCTAGGAACCGCTTGATTCTGAAAGTCTTGTGAGAATACATGGCAGGAGCAGTCAACCACATACACCACAATGGTGGAGAAAAGGAGAGAGCCTCTCCTGTTTGGTTTAAAACTTTATATAGAATATATACCCCTAACCTGGCATTTAAGTAATTAGCATAGTAACTGCAATATATATTTTATAAATTTCACTCATATCTTACAGTAGCATTCTTTTTTCCAGACTGATATAGCTAAAATTAATCTATCAATCCACAGGAATGTTACTAGTTTTCTATAAAAATACATAATAAAGAAAAACATACCGTGTGATAAAGTAAATAAAAATGGTAATTTTATTTAATATAAGAAAAAATCTAAAATTAGAAAAAGAAAAGAGAAAAGGAGGTTGGGGATCTGGGGAGGTATTGTTTAAGGGTACAAACTTGGAACTAGTAGATAAATAATTCCCAGAGAGGTAATGCACAGCATTGTGATTATAACCAACAATACTGTACTATAAACTTCAAAGTTGCTAAGAGACTAGTCTTACTTGTTCCCACCACAAAAAAGAAATAATTATGCAGTGCGACTGAGGTGTTAGCTAATGCTGTGGTGGGAATCATGTTGCAATATATAAATGCATCCAATCAACATGTTGTACACCTTAAACTTACACAATGTCAATTATATTTCAATTTTAAAAAGAATGGAGAAAAGTTCTAAAGTCAATAATCTAGGTTCCAAACTTAAGAAACTAGAAAAAGGAAAAGTAAAATAAACCCAAAGTAAGCATAAGGGGGAAAGTAATAAAGATAAGAGTAGTAATTGATCAAATTGAAAGCAAGAAAACCCTAGAAAAATTCAAGTAAACAGAAATTGGTTCTTCCAAAAATCAATAAAATTGATAAACTTCTAGCAAGACAGACAAAGATAACACACAAATCACCAATCAGAAATGAAGTGGGATATCACTACAGATATCCCCTATTTACTGCAGCCAGTATAAGGATAAAAAAGGAAATACTACAAATAACTTTATACAAAAAAATATGACAATTTAGGTGACACAGACTGATTCCTCAAAAAACACCAACTGTCATAACACAACCAAGATGAAATAGGCAATCTGAATAATTCTATAAGCACGTAAGAAAATGAATTCATAATTTAAAAGCTTTCAAAATAGAAATCTTCAGATCTGGATGGTTTCCTTGTATAATTCTACCCAAACACTTGAAGAATTAACACTAACTTTACATAATCTTTCCTAGAAAATAGAAAAGGAGGGCACACTTCCTAACTCATTTTATGAGACCAGTGTTAATCTAATTAAAAAAAACAAACAGAAAAAGACACAGTGAAATTAAAGAAACTTTCAGCTCAATATCTCTCATAAACCTAGATGCAAACATCCTTAACAAAATATTAGTAAACCTAATCCAAAATGTATTAAGAATTATATATCATGGTGAAGTGAGCTTCATTCTGGGTATGCAAAGCTTGTTCAACATTTCAAAAATCAATCACTATTAATCCACCGTATCAGCATGCTAAAGAATAAAATCATATGATTATATCAATTCATGTACAAAAAGTAGTTGTCAATATCAAACACCCATTCATAACAATAAACCTCTAAAAAATTGAAATAGAGGGAAACTCCCTCAAGGGATAAAGGGTATTTATAAAAAACAAACAAACTACAATTAACATCATATTCAATGGTGGAAGGCTGAATGCTTTTCTTCTAAGATCAGGAACAAGACAAGGATGCCCATTCTCATCTCTCTAATGCAATATAGTCCTGGAGTCTAGTCAATGCAATAAGGCAAGAGAAAGAAAAAAAAAATAGTGACACCTATGCTGGCAAGGATGTAGAGAAACTCAACCATTCATATACTGCTGGTGCGGAAGTGCGGAAGTGCGGAAGTGCGGAAGTGCGGAAGTGCTACACTGGAAAACAGTTTAGCAGTTTTTTATAAAACAGAACAGGTAATTGCAATGCATTACCATACCACCCAGCAATTTTGCTCTTGGGCATGTATCTCAGAGAAAAAGAAAAATGTTCACACAAAAAATTGTATACTAACGTTCATAGAAGCTTTATTTGTCTTAGCCAAAATGTGGAATTAGCCCAGATGTTCTTAAACAGCTGAATAAACAATCTGTAGAGAATATACATTACAGAATACTACTGAGTAATAAAAGGGTATGAACTATTTTTAAAAAGATTTTATTTATTCATTTGAGACTCAGAGATACAGAGAGAGAGAGAGAGAGAGCATGAGCAGGGGGAGAGGCAGAGGGAGAGGGAGAAGCAGGCTCCCCACTGAGCCAGGAGCCCGATGTGGGCCTTGATCCCAGGACCTGGGATCATGACCTGAGCTGAAGGCAGATGCTTAATGACTGAGCCACCCAGGCGCCCCAAGGGTATGAACTATTAATGCATGCAACAATTTGGACGAAGTCCAGGTAATTATACTGAGTGAAAAAAAGACAATCCCCAAAAAGTTACATACTATATGATACCACTCATATAACATTTTGAAATGACAAAATTTTAGAAATGAAGGATATCTCAGTGGTTGCCAGTTGTTAGTGATGGGGGTGGGAGGAAGGTGGGTGGGGTTAAAGGGCAACAAGAGGGATCACTGTGGTTTTGGAGCTATTTACTACCTTGCATATAGTGGTGGATACACGAATGTACACAGATGATAAAATTGTATAGAAGTTAATACACACACATACACATAAATAAGTACAAGTAATGTTGGAAAATATGAATAATATAGGTGGATTAATGTTCTTATTTGGGTCAAGATATTATACTATTATACTATAGTTTTGCAAAATGTTACCATTGGGGGAGTATGGGAAAAATGTAAATGGAATGTCTCTGCTTTATTTTGCTCCAACTGCATGGGAATCTATAATTACTTTAATTGAAAAGTCAATTAAAAAATTAGAGCTAGATAGCCTACTGAATGGGAGAAGGTATTTGCAATTGACATATCCAACAAGGGGCTAATATCCAAAATATATAAAGAACTTATACAGCTCAATACCAAAAAACAATTCAATTAAAAAAGTAGGCAGAGGATCTGAATAAATATTTTCTTCAAAGAGGACATCCAGATGGCCAACAGACACATGAAAAGATGCTCAAAATCACTAATCATCAGGAAAGGGCAAATTAAAACCACAATGAGATATCACTTTATATCTATCAGAATGACTAAAATAAGAAACACAAGAAATGACAAGTGTCAGTGAGGATGTGGAGAAAAAGGAACACTTGTGTACTAGTAGTGGGAATGCAAATTGGTGCAGCCACTGTGGAAAATAGTAATGACATTCCTCAAAAAATTAAGACTAGAATTACCGTATGATACAGTAATGTACTGCTGGGTATATACCTTAAGAAAACAAAAACACTAATTTGAAAAGATATATGCACCCCTATGTTTATTGCAGCATTATTTACAATAGTCAAGATATGGAAGCAACCCAAGTATCCATCTACAGATAAATGGATAAAGAAAAAGTGGTGTATATATCCCATGGAATATCAGCCATAAAAAAGAATGAACTCTTGCCTTTTGCAACAACATGGATGGACCTAGAGGGTATAATGCTAAGTGAAGTGAGTCAGTCAGGGAAAGACAAATAACATATGATTTCACTCATATGTGGAATTTGAGGGAAAAAATGAGCAAAGGAAAAAAAAGAAAGAAACAAACCAAGAAACAAACTTTTAACTATAGACAACAAACTGATAGTTACCAGAGGGGAGGTGGGGAGAGGGGTGAAATACATAAAGGGAATTAAGAGTACACTTATTGTGATGAGCACTGAAAAATGTATAGAATTGTTGAATTTTTACATTGTATACCTGAGTTGTATAAGTTCTTTATATATTTTGGGTATTAGTCCCTTGTTGGATATGTCATTTGCAAATATAACACTGTATGTTAATTATACTTCAAATTAGGTATAACAAATTAAAAACAAATTAGAGCTGCTGGCTTCCACTTAGGATAGAAAGTTGGAAAGAACGTACCTCTCACCCTTACAACAAAAGATAATCTGCAACTTCACAAGTTTTTTGAACCCATAGGGAACTAAGATCACAAGGCAAACATCAACCTAAAATCAGAAATAAGTCAGTCAGAAAAAGACAAATATATGATTTCACTCAGTGTGGAATTTAAGAAACAAAACAGATGAACATAGGGGAAGGGAAGGAAAAATAAGATAAAAACAGAGAGGGAGGCAAACCATAAGAGACTCTTAACCGTAGAGAACAAACTGAGGATTGCTGGAGGGGAGGTCGATGGGATAAATGGGTGATGAGCATTAAGGAGGGCACTTGTTGGGATGAGCACTGTGTGTTGTATGTGAGTGATGAAACTGATTTCGCTCCTGAAACCAGTGCCGCACTGTATGTTAACTGACTTGAAATTAAATGAAACAAATCCCATGTATCTCTGGGTGGTGCCATGGAGCCAAGATCCAAACTTCCATCTGTCCCTTCCCTTGCTGAGCCCCCAGGTCTGAGACTCTCAGAGCTAACATCCCAAATCTGGCTACCTGGTGGCATCCATCTCCACTTTTTCTTTTTAGGAAAAGGAGTATGTTTTGCAAAAGATAACAAATGTCTAGGAATGGTTTGTTTAATATGATACCAGTTCTGTTTGGAAAACTCATTATGTATTTAAAAGTAGTTCTATTTGCTGTTGACCCCAGATCTTCATCCTCCTTGTTGATTGATTTCTCTCTTCCCTCATCAGTGTAGGTTGACCTGACTGTGGAGTTTCCCTCCTAGGGGACAAGGCATTCACCCTCCATTACCCCACCGCTCTCCGGGCTGTCCAGTCCTTCTCCCACCCCCTGGCTGTCATCCCCTGTCTATGACACAGGGCACAGCTGCCCAGACCCTGCTCTGACCACCCCAGTCTCTCTGTCACCTGTCTGCCCTGCGTTGCCCGTTGCCAGCCTTAGCTGACTGCCAAGGCATACTACCACCACCTGGGGTTTCATCAGATTTAGACCCCCGCATAAATGTTTTTCGTCTTCTTGTAGACCTATCAGTTTT